CTGTTCAGCCGACAAGCAAAGCGGTTTGTGGAAATAAATGAAGAAACTTGCAATGATTTATTAAAAGATTGTGAGCATCAAAAATGTCACCCAATTGAAGATTAAAGATATTTGTTATTCTTGTGAAATAGATTTGTTTTAAATGAATTACGGTTAATATATGATCTGCAGTGTTATTTTAGGTTTGTTTTTTATTTTTTATATTGTTTATACTTAATGAACACAAACTTCCTGTATTTATTATTATTTTCTACATGCAAATGTGGTTAGGAATCCAGAAAGTTTGTTTGTCAAATGTGACTGCTGTTCATCAGATGTAAACGAACAAGTCATGTTGTACATGACAAATCGTAGTTGTGGTCAAGTCAAGTCTCAAATAACAATATGAAAAATATTTTTTTAGTTCCAGGCAGTCATAACCTGAAACAGGGACTTGTTGTTATGGGGTTTGTCTATTCATAAGTGCATCTGTCAGTCCACCTGGCATATTTCTCAGACATACCTAGACCAATTTTGTTTAAAGTTGGTACAAAGCAGAGGTGGAAATTGGTGGTTGTCCCAGGTAACAATATTGTCATGGGACAACCAAATTTTGAAACCAGTTGCCCGATTGGACAACCACACAAATTTATATTGTGTAATTGTTTGAATTGAAATTATAGACAACTCCATTTTCATGTGGAAAAAGTTTTCAGCGAGGTTTTCACACTGGGCAATCAGGTAATTTTCCCTGAAATAGGAGAGATGTATGCACCTTGACTTCAAAAATCAGCATTTGAAATTGTCACAAACCATTTCTCAGGCATACTGCCTGAACCAATTTCTTTCAGATTTTGCATTGACATTACTAATGCACAACTGTTTCTCAGGGATTCCTGAACTGATTTTATTCAAACTCACTATGAAACATGTGTTAGAACTGCATGTCAGACTTTGTGATTTGATTCAAAATGGCCAACTGGCGGCCATGTTGGTTGTTACATTCATGTACCCTTAACCATTTCTGTGACACTTAATTTTGTTGAAAGTAAGTACAAAAGACTATATTTAATTATATGTATGGTATTTGCTTTTTATTTCAATCAATGACCTATGGCTAACTGGTGGCCATTTTATCCAAAATAAAAAAAAAAAACAATTTGCATACGTCAACTGTCTCTCAGGCATGCCTGGGCCGATTTTAATCAAAATTGGTTTGAACAACTCATTTGATTGGTTACAGATGCATGTCAATTCAAAATGGCTCATTGGCATTCATATTTGTTTTATTTTCATGCGTGCTTAACCATTTCTCAGATATGATCTGATCAATTTTGTTTTTATTCAGTTGATTACTGATGCACATCACTTATTTTTTTGCTATTGGATTAAATATAGCCCATTTTATTTGTGTGCTATACACTTTCGTTGATTTGGTTTATGTTGTGAATATACCTCTCGGCTCCTTTGGGGTTTGGGTGATTTTGTTTGATCACAATATCATTAAATTGGCTCAGTCATACCTGAACCAATTTTATTCGAACACTCACGTTTTATTTTGTGATTTGAAAAATCAACTTGTCTATGCATGGATTATGCAATTTTGATATACAAGAGCAATGCCAGAACTGTGCTACTTTGATTGAAAAAAAAAATGGATAAGGTGCCATTTGAAGAACTGATAACACAATTTTTATGGAATACTCCCTGAGCATTTATTTGTCTTATCTTCCACTTTCACGGTTTCAATTGAGTCACTAAAAACTGGATGGGGACTCAATCTGTTTTTTGTGAGTGACCCTGATTAACCAGAGTCCATCTTGTTCCTAACAGTGAAAATAAAAAACAAAACACCCAAAAAATCGTTTTAGTGAAAATTAATTCCAGCTAAATAAAGTATTTCACAGTATTATCAACAACACTTAGTTTTACAATTGTTCAATATTGACGTGAATCTGAGTACTGATTTCTGTAATATCAGTGAAATGAGAATTCTTTTCATGTGCAAAATTATCTACCATACTTCCCATAGTATAAGCTCACACCTGTTTTTAGACATTTAACGAGTCGAGGGCACCCCCCCCCCCCCCCGGTGTTTTTACAGGCATCGACTTACGGTACATTTATAAAATATGCAAGTAATTGTTAACCTTTTTCACTACCCGTTCAGTCTATCACAAAAGAATTCTGTTTAGTCTACTCTATCCTTCAGAATATTGAGACAAAAATAGGCAATTTATTTTAGTAAAACTGAAACAAACAAATTTGGGCAGGAAAGTTGATGGAGAAAGGGTTAATTTAACAGATTTGCACCCAAACCTATTCAGATCTTGGAAATGTTCCATCTGATGCTCGAGACACAACGTTCACAAAGCAGACTCTCTCAAAAAAAAACCCCACATTTTAATTCTTTCTAAGATTTTAATCATGACATATAGCCAATGTGAAATTGCATCTATTTGGTTCAAAATTAACAAATTATAGAGACTATGCAAAATGTTTCCCCAAATTTGGGCTGGGAAAAATATCAGGCTCTACTCATTTTGAAAAAATTAGTTTCAGAAAAATCAATTCTTGGTGAAGCCCTAATTTGTATCAGATGTTTGAATGAATATCACAATGACAAATTCCAGAAAATTTTGAATTTATATTGAATATAATCTATCAAAGTCGGGCACTGATTTTTTTTTTTCATTCTTTTTATCAGACTTTCATCACTTTGTGAAGATTTTAAATTATTACTTCAAGATGGCGCAATATCTATAAAATTCATGATGCCACCATGAGCATGTACAAAAACAATTACGCAGACTTAATATTTTCATGAAATTTGCACCAAATATCAGAAACTGTTTCACTAGCTATTTATTTTCCCTATTTCTAAAGCACTTTTCTCTATGAATAAGAGGCTGAATAGGACAGTTATAAGCTAAATAAGTGTTTGGCACAGATGTTATGTTTTTGCAGCAAGTCTGGTGTGTAACATTGTTAAATGATGTTTACATTATAGATCATAGAGGGGTATACGTTCCATTGTTGGATTCTACTGTAATTGAAGTAGGGGCCAATATTAGCTTGTAATTTGGAGGGGTGGAGGTCTATTTTTGCAACGCCAATGTTAAATCCTACTGTCATTGCAGGTTAGAAGCCAATGTTATAATTGTTATTTATGCCAGCCAGCCTGCCTGTAAGAAGGAAATGAAACTGGGGTCGTAGATAATATTTGAATTAAAGGGGATTGATTCCACAGCAAATGTGAATGACACTTTTGAGCCAGACGACTAAAATCCATTTTTTATGATACATTGTATTTGTGTGTATTTAAATGAAGATAGTTCTGATGTTATTTAACTGACTGGTTTTGTTTGAATAGTAATTATTTACAAAGACTAAGAGTACAGTAAATGTATAATTTAATTTAATCCAGTGTACTGTGTGAACTAGCCTGAAATGGCAGAAAACAATTGATATGCTTATGTTAGCCTAATTTGTACAGCAATAAATGTTGCCAAAATGTATTCTGTAATCTTGTGCTTTCTTTGTGCCTCAGTTTTGCAGTAAATAAGACACCAAGATGCAGGGTGTTCAGAATGTGATTAGTTTTGCAAGTCACAATATTGGTGTCCGTATAACGACTTTGCATTCATGGTAATTTGAGATTCAATGTAATCAAAGTTGTATGGTACGTTTCAAGGATGACATGATTGCCTTTAAGGTAGCGAGACTATTATTTGTGTTGAAATTCACTATAAACTTTCATGTGATAAAGTCAACATAATATAGAAAGTCATGTAAGTTGGTTAAAATGTAGATTTTCTGACGGGAAGCAAAGCAGCCTCAGTAGTTTAACAAAATCAATAAATAACACAGGTTTAATCTGTGTGCCTACAAGTTTCAAAGATAAACTCAAGACAAAGCAATGTTAGGATGTGTTATCTGACACACAATTAGCGTTTCCAAACATTTGAGTGGTTTGTCTCCACCCGTTTGTTTCAGACACAAGGTCATACAGCCACTGAGAAAAATCATTGAATTTGGTGTTCTCAACTGCCGAATTTATCGAATTACAGCTATCCCATTCCTTTATTTTTTTGGTTTCCAATAGCCTTACACATTTGGATGCCTCTACACATGTTAAAACAGACCTTGTTGGGAAAACAAATTGTGCCGATAAACAAGCTTGAACATTTTTGTGCTGGATGTTTTCTAGGAGTTTATGTTGTTCAAAATACAAGGTTTTAACAAAAAATAACATATACTTATTGTCGTCGGATTAACACCAAATTTCCACAGCTTTAAGGTGAGAGGAACTTGAATGTGTCCAGAGAAACTATTTTATCGATTATTTACCAACGAGTTGTGGTTTAGTTGGGGGCAATGCGACTAAAACAGTAATTGAAATTCAGCACACTAAATTTTAAAACGCGTTGCTTGCATAAAACTGACCAGACACATTCAATTTACCAGACTATTGAACAACTAGGAAAAGTAAAAAAATACTTATCGCCCAGCATAAATGCGTAATTATTTTTTTACAGAAAAAGTAATTTTTCACCTTTGATTAAGTAACGGGTCATAGAATGCAGATACGGGCATGGCAAACACACCTTTGCAAAGCTTGAAGTCTGGCGATTCTAAAAATATATACTTTCCTGGGTCTATTTGTAGTCATTTGGTCACAATTAGACGATGAAAACGAGTAAGCAAATAATAGTCCCGCTACCTTAAATGGAAACTAGACTCGCACAAAGTGTAGTTTGAGATCCAATTTAGAATGAGGGGGGAAAATATGAATGTCGTGAAGATGCAGTCGAGCCATTGATTTTCATCTAGAACAGTTATTGCCACTGATTGAACTTCCATGAACTGGTTTAACTTGTCAAAAATTGTTACGGAATATCAACACACCTGAAAAGGAATAAATTCCAGAATTTTGTTTATCACCACTTTATGACTGTAAAGGCATTTTAACACTCATTGTCCACTTTGCTACAGTAATGGCTTTTATACTTATTATTCATCTCCAAAGGAAAATAAACCGAGTTTGTATTCATGAAGTATGAAGTGGGAGATGCTTGAATGAATAGACAAGTTTTTTCCTTGTCATATCAATATACATGTATGCAATAAGATTGCCAGCGACCCAGATTCAAGTATGGTTTCCTTGTAATCCAATTTGAATGTTTTAACAGTGACAAGTTACTAGTACTCAATTAGTATACTTTTCAAAAAAACATTGTACACGCAGTTTGAAATGGAACATCGTTGATCACAATAAAATCATGCGTAAAACTCATTCCTGCAAGAAAACTTGTTTTGCCATAGACACAAATTTAGGGAATGTACATTTATTTTTAATGTTTCTACGTTTCATTATTCTGTAAAAAAAAACATTCCATCTGCGCAAAGGATGTTTCAGAGATGGCCTACAAGACTTTGGAGCTAGATAGAACAGCGCCCTCTTATGACCATGACACAAAACTTGTGTTACAGGATGCTTCCTATAAAGGTGTGCTCCAACTGATTGAAAAATCTCAGAGGGAGGTTGATTGAACACTTCCTGCTCAGATAGTTGGTCAGATGCGACATAATCAGAACACAATTAAGCCACTAGTATGCACTTTTCTTTATTGCATCGTACTTTCAAAACTTGTGGTTTGTTTTCCACCTGCAGTGACTAAACAAAAATAATTGCGAAATTCAAAACAAATGAAAGAATAATTTCAATCCATGCACATGATTCAACAAACTGGACAAAAACACATTAATACCTGCATTCAAACATTTAAATCTGGTTCCACAATCTGCCCGTATAACAGTAATATATTCTAAAGTGAACACTAAACAAGGAACATCCAGCCACATGTATTCTAGGCGATTGGAACTCCCATTAAAAAAATAACAAAAGGCAACATATAAATGTACCATAATATATATCTTTAACAACTATCAGCGTATGAAACTTGTCTATTTCACAAACAAATTATTCTGTTAACAAGTTTTTTTCCCCACAAGTTATAGTCAGGCTATTTGAGTTGAATCTGCAGCTGTTTCCATAGTATCACCCTGCGATTCTTCTTCCTCTTCTTTTTTGTCTTTCTTACCATCACCTAGAAATGACATTACACAAGCATGCATTAGTAAATATGCGTTTCCAGGCAGTTTCAACAGAATTCAAATTTTGCACTACTGAGCATTTCATTGCATATATGGGCAGTGCATTATAGAGAACTTCTAATTGTATAATGGAAAATTATTATCACACTGGAAACTAATTAAATGTTATTTTTCTAAAATGTTTTAAAAAGATTAGGATTCAAATCAATAACATGCCATCAAGTAGACTTGCATGAAATTTTGTTTTTTTTTCAATAAAATAAAATCTGGGAGTGTATCAATTATGAAAAAAAACAACCAAAAAACAATCAATAGATTGTATACCAGTCAGTCTAGCCAGCAAGCAAAATATTTCTCAATTTGCCCTGTTACACCAATTTTTTGGCTATCCTGATGAATACTTAATGAAACCATGAAGATAAATAACCATTAAATAAAGATACAATAAAATTAAAACATACATAATGTATGCATGTACTGCTGACTATTTCTATAAGAGCAAATAGTAAAACCAAAGAGTGTAAAGGTAAAGAGTGTTGACTTACCTTCTTCATTATCGCCACCTTCGCTATTGTCGCGGCGACGTTTACGATTTCTTGTATTGCGTTGCTTGGCAAAACGTGGTGGTACCGGCAATGGATCCATTCCTAGTACTTTATGTACTTGGCGGAAAGCAATCAATCTGACAGCATGCTGTAAATCAAAGTAAATTAGATCAGTTTATACAATTACACTTTCACCTTTTTTTAAAGTTTCTGTTTGTGCTCTAGTACGAGTGCATCTCTCAAACAGAAGAATACATAAATTTGTATGCTGGATTATTAAAATATGACTTGTTTTACCACAGATACACCCTCAAATATGAAAACACATGTGCTACTAATACAGTAAACATGATATACATGAAATACATGACAAACCTGTGCACTGGCAGTGATATCCTCTCTTTGCTGTGGTGCCAGGTGACCTGCAGCATCAGTTGAATCTTTTTCACATGGATCATACAGACCTGGACCACCTACAAAAACGATCGAAGAAATGATTAGCAATATAGTTTCAGAAGACAATTCAGGTCCAGTATGAGATGGTGTTTAATTTGTCTTCAACTACACAAAAAAAGAAACTTGCAGCCACAAAAGTGGCCAAAAATACATGTGAAAGTGATATCTCTTTCTCCTCACTCGATTTTAATGTTGGCTTTAATGTATTCATATTAATAAGTATGACTTACCTGGTAACAGAATACCAGAAGCAATGGCTTCAAAAACACGTCTCAGAGCATCACCAGGGCTAAGGTTATTACCAGGACTGCTTACAACCCTTTCGACCAGTAACTCCATTGCCTTTAATAAATTTATGTAGAAAATTACTGCTTAAGTTCAGACAACTTATTTATGCCCAGTGTTCTCTGCAGAACTTCAAGCACAGCAGCCAATATAAAAGTGCATATACCGTAAAATTTCTGTTTCTTTTCGTGAGCGTAAAATAATAATCATACAAAAGTTTTTTTCTTTTTCTTGTGTGCAAAATACACATTACTCACCCAGCTATTTAGGGGTGCCCATGTTGGTACTCGCTGACACAAATCCCGCAGAATACGGATGACGACAACACACGACTGTAATCCATTGGCTCTAGCCTGCAGTAATTAGGTACAAAAAATAAATAACACTATCAGTATTGCACAGACAACTGGCAATTTTCATGTATAACCCACTCAAAGAAAAGACAGGAATTGAGAAACTGGTTTATACACAAAAATCTAAACAATGGGATGTTAAATAAGTTTTAGGAAGTGAATAAAGATGTTGGCATGGCATTTTCTTTTTTCGATTACTCATCACTAGTGCAAACAGAGAAAATACAGAATTGCCGCAGTGAATAATTTCAAACTTACCTGCAGCTAGAGTAACAAAATCAAAACTGCAGTTATACAAAAGTATTTAGATTATTTAGTTTAATTGACGGTCAACTTTAGTGCCAAAGTTCCAATAGCCGGAATTAAAACCTTGTAGCTACGAGATGGGTAACATGCTTTTTAATTAAATCTAGAATAGAAAGCCATTACATCACGATTGCCACTATACCATGTCACAGATTGAGGTAATGCTGTTCAATGAAATAAAATACAACTTTGCCATACAGTCGAGTAAGAGAAAAGCAAACTCGACCTGGGTGAAGGAATGCATGATCTTGTTGTAATCAAATTTTTGTTATAACATTCAGAACGATTCTGTAAAAGATTAAATCGCAAATAATCATCATTGCGAGCTTCACCCAGGTCGGTGAGAAAACTTACAAGCTTGTACTGCAAAAGGAAGAAAATTTTGGATTCGAACCTGGAACCACTTTGCATGACGTAGAGCTGCCAAGGCATCTAGGCATTTTTGCCTGTCCAAGACGTCCGGAGGGTCTTTGACAACTTCTATAATAGTACAGTGGAATGGATGTTGGAACGGGTGTTTGACCACAGTGTCACTCAGCCAAACAATGAGGGAATCGACCACATGGTTTTGAATCAGTGTAAATAGTTTAATAGAGATAAGGTGGAACACGAGAATGCAAAGGTCACTAGCTGCTATTCAAAGCGTTGCACATGCGAATAATGGATATAAAATCAAAAATATTCTACGGCAACTGAGCTGTAAATTTCTTCAAAAGAACCAGTTTAAATAAACAGATATAGCGAACAGATCTATCGTTCTCAAGATCTTAAAAAAAAATATATTAAAAGGCTTAGCTAGCAAGCAATGGGAAGATACTGTTATGGTGTTCACACACTTACTCCAGCAAGACTATATACTTCAACAAAACCATCGTAGCACAAAAGCCCCCATGAGAAGCAAGAGACAGGTCGATGGTCAAAAATCCTTCCGTGGATTCCATACACCTGCTTGGTAGGCTAGAAGGCTTTGCACTGAATAAAATATACACTGAATATGGACTGGAAAAATTGTATAATAATAATAACAGTAATAGCAACTGCTGCGTAAAATAACCCAGCAGTTTGTGTTAGAAGAGCATGACACATCAACAACACATAAATACCACATGATGAAAATAGCTGCCCAACCCTAAAAAATCCCATGAACATTAACCTTGAACAGGCCAAAATAAGGAAAACCAATTTTGAGAATGTCAACACTATTTCCACATTGTGCATATGTCTATTTGTGGCAAGCCTTCTGCAGCATGCAATTATTATTATTATACGAATCTGTAATAAACCACACGCCGTCTCCTTACACAAGCCTTAGAGGAACAAAAATATGATCTTGACTAATATATATGGATAACACATATATCTAATTTTTTTTGGTGTACAACGCTCCCATTTAGTATAATAATGCTTGCCTCACTTCATGCTGGCATCATAGCATCTGTATTATTCACAGGCCATAATTTTGGGAGGCAAGTGACTCAATACAGGCAATATAGACTTTCAATGGAAAAAAATTCCTAACCTAAGACTGAAACAGGGACTAAAATATGGGGGAAAGAAATGCATGAATTAAGGCAATAACTATTGTATAAATATACGATAGGAATCACTATAGCAAGCCTAAATCAATGAATGAATGTCAATGACCATTTTAACAAGCGTTCCTCACTAAGGCATTTTCAGCAGGGTGTACTTTTTTTCTGAAAACACTAACCTCCTTCTGATTGCGTTTCCCTCATAACTGGCGATGACAGAGTAACGACAACTTGGGCAGGAGGCTCCTTTGACGATGAGACAATAATGGCAGCTTCTTCTACGCATAGTTTACAATCAAAACTATCTTCAGATACAACCTAGAACAGAGGGAGCAATAGATAAATATGTAAATATAGCTAGAATCAGTGAACACAACATAGGAGGCAGTGTTCTCCCCAGAAATTTTTCATAGAGTCGCGGCTAATTTGCATAATAATTAGCATAAATTAACATATTGTTTGTCATGGAGAAATAAAACAAAACCAGTTTTTTTCCTTTTTTTCTATTTATTTTATGTACAATCTGTATACAATTATTGCACTGCATGTTTAGTATTGCAAATGTCCTGTCACTCCAATTTCCACACGTTTCTTGATTAGAATTCCTGATTTCTTGATAAATATATTATTTTCAATTATGCTTCACTTAATTCATCCGAATCTGAGCACGATATACGATCCAAGTGGGAAGTTCACGCTCGCTGGATCTTACGTGGGTGACGCCATCTTGGATTCACAATCACGAGGTCAAAATTGTTTACATCATAAATATATATTTTTTCACATTTTGATCTCAAAAAACAAATACAATATCAAAAATACTGACAAAAATCAAAACTTAGAATAATAGTACTACTACATTTCTAAAAATAATAACGAAAATACGTTTCGTACACACCGGAAACATGTGGCTTTTGACCCCAAGTGTGACTATATCATTTGCATATGAATATACGTTTGGCAAAGAGCGTTTGACACCGGGGCTTACGGCTTTGTCTTTATAGAACTGCTTTGTTTTTTTAAAACGATATCCAACCAATGAGAAACAACAGGGGATTATCCCGGGAAATTGGCGTTAATACAATGCATTTGTAGATTTAACTAGTTAGCCAGGAAACTTACAGTCTGCGAGAGACTGAAGAAATCAGATCACGGGATAAATAATAGCATCGCGGAGGAAACGCATAGCGTCGCGGGCAAATCCGATCGCGTCGGAGCCCACGACGCTGTTTTGGCCTGGGGAGAACACTGGTAGGGATGCACACACAAAACAATGCTTGTTCAGTCAGTGTTCATGTCAAACACTTCCAAAGAGTATTAAGTTCTCACTGCTCAGACATGATTGTCATCTTCTTTTTCTGCAAGTCTGTTTAAAAAAAGCCAAAATACAGACAGCATGTGTGAAAAGCTGGTTGTAATAAAACTGTAATTACTTTATTTGTTCTAATATAATTAATAATTTGCTCTCTTTTCTGAGGGGGTACTCTGGTAAAATATGATTTTCTGTGTTGAGGACACTGGGAGCTTACGCAGTCAAGTACGGTATGTGCATCTGTAACAGAAGCGATTTAATGTATACTACATTATTAAAATACAACTTATGACCATTCATGTGCCACTAACAAAGCAAATAAGCTCTCACAAATTCTCGGAAAACTTAATTCCTTTTATACAATTGAAACTAACTTACAGCCAACTGTTTAGGTAGATTATCAGCAACTCGTTCGAGGAGAGTTCTTGTCGGTTTCTCAGAGCAGAGTACTACAAGATGAACATTGAGGTCTCCTCTAAGCAGTAATCCCTTAGCTAATACACCCACACGCATCACGCCTTTTAGAGCTCTTGCTGGAGTTTCATCTTTCTTATTTGAGCTGTGAAAAAAAACGAACATTTTGTACATCTATATTTTTTTTATCTAGTTTACATACAAGATTGGAAAGCAAACAGTGATATTTTTAATGCAGTTAGAGATAAAAGCAAACAAGCTGCTAACAAGCAAACTAAACAAGGTTAGTAAACTGGTGAGCAAAATCTTGTTGAGCAAAATTTGCTTGGTAAAGGTGTTAACCAAATCAACGAATCACTATTCTGAATAGCAAGTATTTGTCACACTGCTGGTAAATTATACACACTAACATTACAAGACACTAACATAGCTAGCTATATATTGAACAACATTTCTTACCCATCTTTGCCATCATCATCGGTGCTCTCTGCATTCTCAGTTTCTATTTTTTCTTCTTTGATGGCTTCTTTCTCAGGTGATTCCATTGGTGTGGGGTTATCACTGTTAAATACAATATAAAACATCAGGACTTGAACTTAATTGAAAAGACATACATTTTCAAGGCAAAATGTTATGAAATTGATTAATTATATATACATATATGTATACATGGTTTTAAAACTAGTCAACATTTTAGTACATATAATTCGTCATTATCAATATTCACTATCAATTGTCAATCACAATTGTCAAGAAAATTGAATGAAATACGAAAATGTCAACAAGGTTTAATAAGATATTAAAGTAACAATACATACATTTCAGCTATGTAATCAGACACCAGCTTCAAAGCCTTCTCAGAAGATGACACAATGCTCTGTACAGCTTGTAGCTAAAACCAAAAGAATATTGTAAATATATAGATCACTTGAAAAAATGTTTCAACTCTTAAATTAGTGTAAAATTAAATGTTGTAAATCAGTCATTAATTAACCAGAGACTTCTCTCAGAGTGCGAGTTGAGCCAAGGAAAGAACCATCAAAAACATCAATTACACTAACCACAAGAGGTAGTCTATCCAGAATTGAATGTGGTCTATGACACAGATGCTGGAATATTTAGTAAAATACACATACCTCTGTATCAGTTGGATATATACTTGAATGTTTTGCCATCACATGACGATCATCAACAGTATCTGGTCGTCTGATAGGCTACAATGAAAGCAGTTTAGAAAAATACGGTAAGCAAAGTACATCTAGGTATGGATAATATTTCTAAATTATCTATCAATTCAGACAAACTTGCTATATCCCAATGGATTAAAGTCACTATAATGTCGCTGTAAAACCATCTGCATACTTTTCAAACATCAAGTATGTGATACAAAGGTGAAAAAATGATTAGACATTTACCATATCGATAGGATGTCTTGAAGACTGTCCACCATAACCTCTTGGGCCTGGCCCTGATGCAATCCCACGGCGACGCTGCCATTCATAATACTCAACCTCTTCTTCATATCTGCGTCGTTCTTCCCAGTATCTTTCATCCTCTTGCATATGTCGCCAATACATGTCTTCTTCATAACGTCTGAGAACAAGTTCACAATACAGATCAACTAACAAATCTACTAACAGTTGCGGTTATCATTCAACCAAAAAATATGCTGCAATATGCACGATGAGTCCAGTTTTTACAACAGAGCTAACACAGGGCAATCAAAGCAATGTTATCAATTACTGTGGAATACTTTATTTTCGCTGGAATTAATTTTCGCTGAAAAGGCTTTTTGGGCGTTCTGCCTGGAATTTATTTTCACTGATTTTTGATGAGTTGAATGTGAAATATAGGAAAAAAAGTATATTCGCTTGATTTTATTTTCATGGAATCATCCCTTCCGCGAAAATAGCGAAAATAAATTCCAAGCGAAAATAAAGTATTCTACAGTACCATACTGTCTGCTGAAGCTTTTTTATACAACAGACATAAGCAATCTGCAACTAACCATGGAGGCTTTAAGAGAGTTTATTTGTTAACAAGAAACAACGCACTATTACACAAAGTTGTTGAAGCTCAGAATCCTACCCCCCTCCCCAATATCAGTGGTCACTATTACTTCAGACCAAGCTTCTTCGTGAAATTAAGATATGATCAATTTCAACTAACCTGTATTCATCTTCTTCTCGCCATCTCATCTCTTCTCTCCATCTTTCTTGTTCTCTGCGGAAATAATCTTCTTTCTGTAGCTGTTTACGAGTCTTTTCTTCTTGTATTTTACGAGCTCTCACTGATGGCTTTACATCAACTTGGAGATCTGGATTTACTTTTTTCTGAGATTTTAAAGAACATTGTTTTTTGAACTTTTTTTTTTTCCTAAATCAGGCGGAACTATATATAATTTCAGGAAAATAACAGGCATAAGACTTCATATGCAAATTGCACAAATTACTGCCCAAATCATTACTGTGTTTATACTGCTTCTTTATAGTAGTATCTTTAATAGAAGCAGGCACAAATATTTTGGATGTCTCCCTTATGCACTAGATAAACTGTCTTGACGGGGAATTTGTGTAAGCACACGCAATAGAGTACAATAGAGTTGACAAACTTACCTTGTACTGTAACCTGTGTCTTCTTCCCTTCATATGCATCTCTTTGGCATTGGGATCATTAAATTTACATTCACACAGTTTGCAGTTGAAGCTCACTATTTTACCTTCGTCATTACGCACTTCTTCTATGTAGTCTTCCCCAACTGGTTGCACGTCAGGCTTCTCTGGAGTCATTGGAGATTCAATTTTAGATTCTGTTTTAGCTGTGAGTAAAAGAGTCACTTGAAAACGATTCATAATAATTTTTCAACATTCATAGTGAAAGATATCAAATGTATGATCCCCTTGAGCCTAATTTTCACTGAAATTTTTGCTCAAAGAACACATATACATACTAAACCTCAAATTAATGATTTAATTAAATTGACCATAGCTGTCTTTTGCCCAGCATGACTTTTAACATATTTGCCTGCTAAAAAATTGAAGTCCACAGGCAATATTTAAAAACTCAATAGTGTACACACAAAATTGTACTCAATACATTATAGCCAGCATACAACACTACAATTGTAAATGTGTTAAGTAGAAAAGATGAATTGTATTCATAATAAATTTGAGACACTTACCATCCATTAACGCAGATGCAGCTTGCAAAGAAGGAATTGACTTCAATTCTCCAAGTTTCTTTTCAGCGTCGGGTGTTGTAGTACTCAGTTTAGTCCCACCTGCAGTAAAACGAATAAACAAACACATAAAGCGAAGAAGTTCCACATCCATTATGAACAACAAAATATCCAAAGAAGTGGCAAAACCATCATCCTTTTTTCAATCTTCTTTTGGACAACCCGGATCAAATATTTGTTAAACTTGATACTTACCAACAAACGTGATCTTTGGAGTGACCTTTCTTGTAACAGTTTTAGCTGCAGTTGCAGTTGGTGTCTTGTTTTGAGTAACAGTTGAAGTAGCAGATGCTTTAGCAGCAATAGTAGTAGATGTAGTAGATGCTGGAGTTACAGGGACTGGTTCAGTAGATGGAATAGGTTTTCCCAACTTTGTATGCAGCTTCAGAACCTGTATAAATAATCGAGAAAATAAAATATTACCCTTAACTAGCACATGATGAACTGAAATTGTCATTTTGATAATTTCTTGAGTACTCCAGAGTAGAGTAATAGATCAAATATGACAATACTCATTTTTCTTATTACCGTAAAAACTCAATCAATTCGGCCATGTAAAAATAAATATTTTTGGGGGTGGGCCAATTGATTGAATAAATGTAGAAAATATGTTTCTGAAGTGGTCGATTTGTTTGAATAATTTTTCAGCGTTTTAAAACTGGGTTCGAAGTGTGTATCACCGGTAACTGAATAAATATATA